AGATTCTTTCAGTTTGCTATTCTCCCATTTGTTTCTCATATCTCTTTCAAAAAAGTGATTTGGGGTTATTTGCAGAATTGTATACTGTACAATAGAATAACAATTAAAGATTAAGAAATTGGGGCAAAGTTAAAATAATGGTTGTTAAAAAGAGGCAGAAATACAGTTAGGTCTTTTAACTTTGCTAGAAATGAACCATAGATTTGGTTCTGAGAGAAAAGATACTGTCACATTTTGATTGGTTAAAAATGAAAATTTTTACAAACCTTGAAGGACAGACTAAGACTGCTTGATGTGGTCATATGCTACAAAAGCTGACAAGCTCAGATAGACTAAGCAGTTAACGTGCTGCAGTATTTTTCAGATTTGAATGATTCAGGGTGCTAAACAGTCTTTGCTCATTTCATCTTTGAGAATTATACCTTTTCTGATATGGGTAATGTTCCAAGTTTTATTTGTATTGAATGTAAATAGCATACATTATTTGGCTTAAAGGTAGCCAGGAGCTTCTTAATCCAGTGAGAAAATGTCAGCCTATGTAGATGAAGGAGGAAAGCAAAGATTGGGTTCAGAAGGACTGTTTCACAAAACAAACAATGCTTTCTACAGATACTTTGTAGAAATTAATTTAACTTTTGTTCTTTTTATAGTAATGTTTTTTTATTTGAGAAGTTTTGCACCTGTTAGGAATATTGTCTTTAGTTGCTAATATCCTGGGTCTGTAAAACCATCAAGTATCAAAATGTTGCCCATTGTTTTTGGTTGTTGAGGCAAGGTGAATTTAATTCCTGTTCTTCTGTCTTGGCTAGAGGGAAAATGCTAACTTCTGTCTGCCAAATCTGAATCTTAGAGTTCATGCTTCATCGTCTCCTAATCCTCAGTGCTCTGTGACTCTTGACATCTTAGTCTCCCTCATCACACCTTCTGAATCCTTGACAACTTTCTGCTTATCCAGTTTGTACTCCAGCGTTAACTCATTGTTTTCTCAGTATCTTAGGCTTTCATATTTCTAATATTTGACTTGTATGCTCTATTAGTCCTCAGGTTTGTATCTGCATTGGATTCCTGGTTTTATCACTTCACATTGCTTTTGGCTTTACCTCTTAGCCATTGCTTTGACCATTTTCTGAAGGTTTTTCCTGGCTTTGCATAAATGCACTTGTATCTGGAAGCTCATCACGTATTTCTCATTTTCTGTTCTTCTGTGGAGCACCTTTGAAGTCACAGAACTGGGTGCAGGAATCTGTTTTGGCTTTATACATTCATAACACAGAAATGTGAAGCAGTTAACGACTCTGGCCACTTTTGGTCAGTGAATAAGGTTGATGATTCCTTCTCCATTTCCATGATTGACTCAGATTCAAGAGGTCCCTGGAGGAGTGAGCACCAGCTACCCCAGGGAGTGAAGGCTGTAGCTCCATTACACTGCCTTGTGCTGGCTTTTCTTCTTCGCTTTTCATGCCCTCTTTCTTACACTCCTGCTGTTTGGAGGAACATTTTTAATCACATGAAAATAAGCCTAAAACTGTCAGTAGCACAATCCTTTATTCTTCCTTCTCTACTGCTCTAATCCTCTCCATTTGTTTGTGTGGTACTGATAATTGTAGAAAATTCACAGACTGTCTTGCCTATGTCTCCTGGTAACTTATACCATCTTACTCTAGCTGGATTCTTTTTCTGCCAGTGATCCAACAAGACATAAGATGACTGCCCCAGGCCAGGGGCAGTAGCTCACATCTGTAATCTCAGCAGTTGGAAGGTCAGGGTGAGAGGCTCAATGGAAATCCAGGAGTTGGAAATAAGTCTGGGGAGCATAATGAGACCCTCTATCCACAAAAAGCTAAATAAATAAATAAATAAATAAATAAAAAACAGCTGGTCGTGGTGGTTTATGCCCACAGTTCCAGCTACTCAGAAGATTGAGGTGGGACAACTATGTGAGCCCAGGAGCTTGAGGCAGCAGTAACTGCACTCACGCCTGGATGACAGATTGAGGCCCTGTCTATAAGGGGGGGAGAATATATTTCTCCATGTCACAGGGTTGTTCAGGGGTGGATATGATGGCTGCCTAACACTAAAATCCATATGCTTTTCCCTGTGTAACAGAATGATGACTCTTCAACAGCAGTATATCCTGAAGCATAAAATATTCAAAATATTCAAGTATGTTGTTGCTTTTATTTTTACTAAGGAAGAAAAGCAGACGAATACATTGTTTCCTACTATGTATATATAGTAGTATATATGTACTCCATGTGTAGACACTACTTCTGCCTTTCATGTCTTTAGCCTCAAAACTTGCCTTCTTCAGTTTCAACATGCATTCTCACCTACTTTATTGAGAAGGATAAAATTAGAAGATTGTGAGGCCTGTCTGGATGTTTCTTGCTCCTGTGTTCCCAGGGTCCAGAATAAGTACTGACTGGTGTCGAGTCAAGCCAGTGACAGAGTGATCACAGATACAGAGCAATGCCACACAAACAGTTATTACAGGAAAAAGGAAGAAGCTGTATGAAGTGACAGTGAAGAAGGAAGAAGCTAGGCAGAATGACAGAAGGTGAAATTGTGTTCTAGAGAGAGGAAGGGTCAGCCTCCATGAGCTTTTATGCTCACTAGTTTGTCCCACATTTCTCTTGGCAGGATTGATTGTGTTTCTCAACTTTGGATGATTGACAGGTTTGAGTTACATAACAGATTACATAATAGGTTAATTATATAAGAGTTTGCATGTGGCTTCCCCAAAATCCTTCATGAAAGCTCCACCCATGCTATGTTAATTAGATGGTAATAAGCTCTCGGTTAGCTAAAGGTCACAAGGAACTTCTTACTATGTAGGTTCCTAGTTATAATTTGATTCTTGCTCTCTGCCCTTATCCACTTTGTTGCCACTTGTTTATCCTCTGCCAGACCTAAAAAGATTGGCTTCCATATTTTCTTTTTTTTTTTTTTGCTTCAAAATGGGGTTTTCGGCTGACTCCTATTCTCTGCCAACAAAACAAAACAAAATAACACCATTACCTTTAAATATCCTTAATCTACCTCTACTTTTTTCTAGAGAACAGATATCAGATATTCTTTGAGTTCATTTCTGCAACCATGCTCTTAATTATGTTTAATCATAACTTGTCAAATCTTTCTTTAGCAGTCTTCTCATATCTTTCCTCAATTTCCAGTGGCTCCTGTTGTTGACTACAGCTATGTTCACATCTTACCTGTATAAAAGGAAATAAAATATAAAAACAAAATCCTTTTTATAAATCTCATTATTCATATTGTATGTGGTTGTTTCTTGCTCTTTTCATTCAGTGGAGCAATTATTTAAATAATATTCCATCTTATCAATTACTTAGTCCTTAGTCCCTGAGAACCGAACTTCAATCTCTACCATTGTTTGGAAATGACCATCTTAAAGGTCACTGAAGGATAAAGTAATCATTCAATCTTATTGCCTTTTCTTAGTCTTCATATTTGATCATACTCCAGCATTTTTGAGAAAATTCCTGTTTTCATTTATGGAATTAAAAATCCTTCTACTGTCTATACTCCCTCACTATTATCTACTTCCAAAGATCTCTGTAGGTGCTTTCTCTAACATTTACTCTGCTGGTGTCTCAGGTCTTCCCTCTGACTTTCTTATTTTCTGAACAGTAATACCTTTCTTTAAGATGCCAGTGAATTCCTAATTCCTCTTTGCATCTTCTATATTTGGAGAAGAGGAGAAAGAGCCAGTCATTGTGGTTTATATAAATCATCTCATTTAATCCCCACAGCAGTTCATATTTCAAAAAAGAAGTAAACTAAGACCCAAAGTGGCCTAGTGAGTTCTCCATGTCACAGGGTCATTCAGGGGTGGGGTCTGATGGCTGCTTCACACTTTTTCCTGTGTAACAGAATGATGACTCTTCAACAGCAATATCCTGAATCATCAAATATTCAAAATAGTCAATTATGTTGTTGCTTTTGTTTTTACTGAGGAAGAAAAGCAGACAAATACATTGTAGAAAGATTGTGAACCTTTAACAGAAGTTGAAAGAAATAAACTTTGTGTTAAATTTGTGTTATTAAAACACTGTTAACCAAGAGGCCTCTCTCAAGTCCTCCAGTTATCAAAGTTGTGTTGTATATTGAACTAAATACATGTTGAGTTTAGAATTGGAAATAGTTGGATTTTTTTTTTTTTTTTAGTAAACTTTTAATTGGGTATTTGTTGGTGCTAAACTCAACAATTAAGGAGCAGCTTTGCCTGCTGGGTTTGAGAGGTAACTTAAGTTTGATAACTGAGACAGAAGAATTGAACATTAATGTGGAGATCAATAGCAGAAGTAAGTGAATAGTGTGAAAGTGTCCGAAGGATATGCAAAGTGGAAATAACATGGTAGCTTGTCACTATGGCCTGTACTCTGGCAAAGGATACACCATCATCTGGCAATTGCACACCAAACAGCTGTTGATTAAATACCACTTTATCCAATTTAGACCTAATGAACTCGGTAGATGGGATCCCTGCTGAATTAAGGAGTGCAATGAAAGCCTCACTTTGGATTCTGTGCTATCTAGGTCAAGAAGTTCCAAAAGTAATGGGTATACGTACTTGGTACATGAAAACATTGACTTTCTTATACCTTCTTTTGATTTGCTGCCAAATATTTATGAGGTCTGACTTGTGCTTTAGGGAATTTTGAGTGGTAGATAATGTTGTTGAGTGGTAGATAATGAAATAAAAAACTTAGAAAACTGTTGCCTGCCCTCCGGGAGTTTTATTTGCATTTTTGCTGATTTTCTTCAGTTACTGTGAATGACAATTTTAAAATCAAAGGCTTAAAACAAATTTTGTTTGGGTTCAAAGGCAAAGTAACTCTCTCCCCTAGCAAGACAGTTGACAAAACATCTTTAATAAATGGGAGAAGGAATGAAGAGGCAGGGATGTGTTTTGGCTCTGTGCTCAATCTTACCTATCTGAGGATTACAAATGACACTGTGGTTTTATTTGGAACTTTCAGGAAGGGGTCCTGATCAACATTTTTCAGGAAGTGCAAAGGATGTGTCAGAAGAAACCCATGTCTGCCTACCGTGCAGGGAGGGCTGTCCCTACTGCACTGATGACAGCCCGTGCTTTGTCCAGGAGGATAAGTATTTGCGACTTGCTATCATCTCCTTCCAAGCCCTGTGTATGCTGCTGGACTTCATTAGCATGCTGGTGGTCTACCACTTTCGCAAAGCAAAGGTAAACCCAGGTACCCTGGTTATGATCTTTCTTTTTGTTATAGAGTAAGCACTTTCCTTTTTACGCAAATAGAATATCCAAATCCCAGCTGCTTCTCCACTAAATAGAAGACCTTCTATAGTATTATTATAGAGTATGAGAGTTGCATTCTTTAGCTTTCCAGAAACATAGAGATTAAAATATGATACTTTATTTTAATATTTTCTTCAATAGGATGTTTCCCCCTATTTAACCTGGAGCTCAAGTGCCTCACTGCCTTGAAGGACTCTCCTTTACATCATTTCTTTGGCTTCTAGAGTAACTTATTCTGCCAGCACTCAGTGTATTGTTAATTTTTCATATCTAAAGAGCTTTGTTATGTTTATTATATTTTCATTTCTCTTAGGCATATTGGAAAATGATAAATGACTAAACTATTTTTGAGCATATTGTGCTTTGAAGAATGAATTTATTCATGACCTTGTGCTTGGTCTTGCATTAGTGTCCCAGGATAATGGTGATCTTAGGAAGGCCTTATACAGCTTTTGAGAGAATCTGTTCTTTGGTTCTGTTCTGAGAAACCAAAGAGAAGTATATGCATTTGTGTACTCAGTCGGGAGTGGACAGGGTGGTAAGATGTTAGGGCAAAACTTTCTGGGGAGCTTTATTTGGTTACCCGATTATATGTAGTGTTGCTGGAATTTGTGATTTTAATGCTCACAGAAACTTCACTTGTGCCACCAGAAAGAGAAAAACTTAAAGCTTCAACCTTTTCTGAATTCAAACAACCCCCTTCCTGTTGGCAAATTGTATAGATTGGTTTCACTTAGAGAGTTCATTGAAAGTGTATAAAGTGTTCCCGTTAGAAATTTAAAAAAGTAAATATTCCTCTGTGAATGACATCTATTAAGAAGCCTTAAGTTAACAGTAAAGCTTCTGTTGAAATTCTAGGACATATTATGTTAAACTTACAGACTTTAGAATTATTTTAAACAGATAGTTTCATTAACAAATACATGCAGCCCAAATTAAAGTCAAGCGTTAAGGGAGCAAGAAAGTACAAACAACCAAATTGCTTTTTATTTAACCAATACTTTCTTAAACAAAACATACTAGAATTTATTTAAATTCTATTAACCTAATTATGTTCTCATGACTATTTTGGTAAAGTAAAGGTAGATAAGTATAACATTTTTATCATGGTAAAGTATGTGTAATTTAAAATTTAACATTTCATCTTAAGTATACAGTTTAATGGCATTCAATATATTCACATTGTTATGCAGCCATCATTACTGTCCATTGATAGAACTTTTTTATCATCTCAAACTGAACTCCGTACCCATTAAGCAATAAACCATATTGGTTTTTACTCTATCAGTACAGATTTGCCTACTATTAATACCTCATATAAGTGGAATCATACAATATTTATTTTTTTCTGTCTGGCTTAGTATAATGTTTTGAGGGTTCCTTGATATGATAACAGAACTTCGTTTCTTTTTGTGGCTGAATAATATTTTATTGTGTATGTATATGCCACAGTTTGCTTTTCCATTCATCTACTGATGGACATTTGGGCTGTTTCCACCTTTTGGCTATTGTGAAAAAAGCTGCTGTTAGAATATTCATGTACAAGTATCTGTTTGAATCCCTGCTTTCAATCTTGGGGTATGTACCTAGCAGTGGAATTGCTGGATTGTATGGTAATTCTACATTTAGTGAGTTGAGGACCCACCAAACCTGTTTCCCCAGAGGCTGCACCGTCTTGTATTTCTACTGACAACTCACAAGGTTTACAGTTTCTCTAAATCCTAACCAGTAGTCATTATTTTCTGTTTTGTTGTTTCTTTTTAAATTTGGCCACCCTGATGAGTGTGAAGTGGTACCTCTTTGTGGTTTTTGCTCATATTTTTCTAATGATTAGTGATAGTTGAGCAACTTTTCATGTGCTTATGGGTCATTTCTATCTCCTCTTTGGAGTAGTGTCTATTTAAGTCTTTTGCCCATTTTATTTTCACCTAGGAGTTCATGGTTTACATTGGGGTTCTCTCTTGGTGTTGTACATTCTATGGATTTGGACAAATGTATAATGACATATATCTACCATTCTAGTATCATGTAGACTAGTTTCACTGCCCTAAAAATCCTCCATGCTCTGCCCTTGCTCATTTTTCAATTGGGTTATCTGATTTTCCATTGTGGAATTATAGAAGCACTTAGCACTGTGGCTGATACATCTTCAGTATTACAACTGCTGCTGTTATTACAGGCCTACCTTGGAGATACTGTGGGTTTAGTTCCACACAGGTGCAATAGTGAAAATACTGTAATAAAGCCAGTCACATCAAGTTTTTCATTTCTTAGTGCATATAAAAGTTAGATTTCCATGAAACTATATAGTCTGTTAGGTGAGTAATAGCATTATGTCTGAGGAAAATGTGCTTTACCTTAATTATAGTTGGTCATTCAAAAACATGGGTTTGACTGCACAGGTCAAGAATACATGGAATTTTTCAATGAAACCTGGGTGGAAAATATAGTGCTCAGGAGACGCGAAGCCTGTGAACTTAGTGGGCCAACTGAGGGACTTGAATATGCAAGGATCTTGGTATATGATGGCACTGGGGAGGCATCTGGTCCTGAAACCAAATTCCCTTTGTGTACTGAGGGACAGTTGTACTTTATTGCTAAAAAAAAAAAAAAAAAGCTAACAATCACCTGAGCCTTCAGTAAGTTGTAATCTTGTTGCTAGTGGAGAGTCAGTGTTGATGGCTACTGACTGATCTGGGTCATAGTTGCCAAAGATAGGGGTGGCTGTGGCAGTTCCTTAAAATAAAACAACAGTGAAGTTTGTCACATTGATTGAATCATCTTTTCCTTAAAATTTTTTTTATAACATGGAACTTTTTTTTTTTTGAGACAGAGCCTCAAGCTGTCCCCCTGGGTAGAGTGCTGTGGCATCACAGCTCACAGCAACCTCCAATTCCTGGGCTCAAGCGATTCTCCTGCCTCAGCCTCCCAAGTAGCTGGGACCACAGGCACCCGCCACAATGCCTGGCTATTTTTTGGTTGCAGCCACCATTGTTATTTGGTGGGCCTGGGCTGGATTCGAACCTGCCACCTTAGGTATCTGTGGCTGGCACCTTAGCCACTTGAGCCACAGGCGCTTAGCCATATAACATGCAATGTTATTTGATGCACTTTACCCACAGTAGAGTATCTTTCAAACTACAGTCAGTCCTCTCAAACCCTGCCAGTGCTTTGCCAGTCATGCTTACATAATATTCTAAGTCCTTGGTTGTCATTTCAGTGGTGTTCATAGCATCTTTATCAGGAGAAGACTCCAACTCCAGAAACCACTTTCTTTGCTCACTCATAAGAAGCAACTCCTTTGTATTCAAGTTGGATCTTGAGATTGCAGCAACTCAGTCACATCTTCAAGTTTTAATTCTACTTCTGTTTCTTCCACATCTATAGCAACTTCCTCCACTGAAGCCTTGGACTCTTCAAAGTCATCCAGGAGGACTGGAATCAGTTTCTCCTAAACTCTTGTTAATGATGATATTTTGACCACTTCCCATGAACCACAAATTTCGTTAATGGCATCTATAATGGTGAATCTTTTCCAGAAAGTTTTCAAATTACTTTTCCTGGACCAATCAGAGGAATTCTTATACTATGCATGGCAGCTAGAGCTTTACAAAATATATTTCTTAAATAATGAAATTTGAAAGTCAAAATTACTCTGACCCATGGACGGCAAGATGGGTGTTATGTTAGCATGCGTGAATGTCATCACTAATCTCCTTGTACATCTTCATGAGAGCTCTTGGGTTACCATGTCCATTGTCAATGAACAGTAATATTTTGAAAGGAATCTTTTTATTTGAGCAGTTGGTCTCAACAGTGGGCTTAAAATATTTAGTTACCATGCTGTACACTGATGTGTTGCCATCTGACTTTGTTGTTTCATTTATAGAGCAGAATTGATTGAGCATAATTTTTAAGGGTCCTGGGGCTTTGGGAATGGTCACAAACATTGGGTTCAATGTAAAGTTGTCAGCTGCAGTATTCCCTAGTAAGAGTCAGCCTGTCCTTTGAAGCTTTGAAGGCAGGTATGAACTTCTCCTCTCTGGCTATGAAAGTCTGAAGTGGCCTCTTTTTCCAGTAAAGGCTGTTTCGTCTACTTGAAAATCTGTTGTTTAGTGTAGCCCCCTTCATCAGTTATCTTAGAGCTTCTGGATAACTTGCTGCAGCTTCCTTACCAGTACTTGCTGCTTCACCTCACACTTGTATGTTATAGAGACGATTTTCATCCTTAAACCTCACAATCTGACCTCTGCTACCTTCAGACTTTTCTGCTGCTGCTTCCTCACCTCTCAGCCTTCATAGAATTAAGAGGGTTGGAACCTAGCTCTTGATTAGGATTGGCTTAAGGGAATGTTGGGACTGCTTTCATCTTCTATTCAGACTGCTCAAACTTTCTTCATATCAGCAATTAGACTGTTTTGCTTTCTTATCATTTGTGTTTCACTGGAGTAGCATCTGTAATTTCCTTCAAAAACATTTCCTTTGCATTTACAGCTTGACTCACTATTTGGCACAAGAGTCTCCACTTTTAGCCTGTCTCAGCTTGCAACCTGCATTCCTCACTAAGCTTAATTGCTTCTAGCTTTTGACTTAAAGTGAGAGACATGCAACTTTTCTTTTTACTTAAATAGTTAGAGTCCATGGTAGGAGTATTAATTGTCCTAATTCTGATATCACTATGTTTCTAGGAATAGAAAGACCCAGGAGGAGGAGTGAGATGGGGAAACTGCTGGTTAGTGGAGAAGTCAGAAGACTAACTTCTTACATGGGTTGTCATTTATAGATATAGTTCATGGTACATCCCCCCCAATTACAGTAATAACATCAAAACCTACTAATCCTATATTTCCATAATGTGGAATGACAATAATGACAATAAGGAAAATGTTTGAATGTTTTTAAGAATTACTAAAATGTGACACCAAGAT